GCGCATGTGTGTGTGCAGGGCTCTCAGCGGCTCACCCCCAAGACCCTGTGACCCCCTGCCAGGCCTGGAGGGGCAAGGTGTGCCGACTCCCCATCACCCCTCACCGGAGTAAACAGCCCTGCCCCTCTGCCCCTGCGAAGGGCTCCTTTGACTTCCCCCCCATCCCCAGAGACCCTAATACGTGCTCTTCATAATTACGTCTTTGCAGGAACTAGGAGAGGCCCTGGGCGGCCGGGAGCAAGAGGCGCTGCTGAGGTGCCGGGGAGACGACAGGCAGGCTGGGGAACACACGTGGTGCGGGGAGGGGGAGGCTGGCGCTTTCATTGCTGGATTTTTGTGTGGTGAAAGTGGCTGAGATGAAGAAGAAGATGTGGCTGCAGGGACGGGCTCCGGTGTGGGAAGACTGTGAGGGATGCAGGGCCAGGTGCTGTTTGTCTGTGGCCCGGACACCACCACCCCGCCCCCCCACCCCGCTGGCACCTCACACGGCAAAGTGGTGTGAGAGCCCTTTGCCAGTGGCCGTTCCTCTCACTCGGAGTCAGGGACCTTGACTGTGCCCGTGGTGTCTTGGGACAACGCCACTGTCAACCCTCCACCCGGGCTCTGAAGCCGCCAGCCCGCCCTCTCCCTGCCCTAGCCCTGGGCCCCCAGCCAGCCTGGATGGGTGTGGGTGGCGTGTACCAGGACGGTACCTTTTTTAAAAAAATTAATAAATCATTTCCTGGGGGCTCTTGTAACAACCCATCCATCCATCCACCCACCCATTGTATCAGACACATTTGTACGTAAGTTGCCATCATCATTCTCTTTCGGCTTGAGCCCTTTTGTAGTATCAGCTCCTCCTTCTCCCCTCCCTCCCCCATCCTCTGATAAATGGTAAATGACTATGGTTGTCATAGCTTACTCTGTCCACTTCTCCCCTCGCCCACGTTCCTGTTGGTCGTCCCCAGGGTAAAGGTTTCATGTTAGTTGCACATGAGGGGATCAAGGTCCTAATTTGTCATCTTGAAACCTTGGCACCGAAGCCACGTAGTGGGACGTGGTGGGTATGTGGTGGGCTGCTGACCTTGAGATCGGGAGTTAAATCCTCCAGCCGCTCCCTGGGAGAAAGATGAGGCTTTGACTCCGGAAAGCCTGCAATGCCGGGAGCCCCTGGGGCAGTTCTGCCCGGTCCTGCGGTGGGGGCAGGGTGGGGGGGTGGGGGTGAGCTGGTTGACCTGACAGCAGTGAGTTGCAGGGCTTTTTAAACGTCGGAACCACGCTTTGAAACTAGACCTTTCTAGCTTCAAAACTCCTCATTTTGGCTTATTTCTAAAAATTTTAATTCTCTCCTTTCCACTAATCTAAGGAACCCTGGTTGCCCAGTGGTTACGTGCTGGGCTGCTAACTGCAAGGCCGGCCGTTTGTGACCTCCGGCTGCGTCTCTGGAGAGAGACGGCTTTCCACGCCCGTCCAGAGTGACAGCCTCGGAAAGCCGCCGGGCAGTCCCACCTGTCCTGTAGGGGCGCCCTGTGTCTGGATGGACGGGATGACAGGGGTTTGTTAAGGACGTCTGCATTCGTCCGCTTTACAAAGCTCTCTGTCTGATAGCAAGCTATTCACTGTCCTGGTCAGTGGTCAGAGGGGATCCACGGGAGGCTTAATCCACGTGGGGACCCTGCAAATGGATTTTGGGGCTCCACTGTCATCCATATCCTTCTGAAAACTGGGTGCTCAGAATTTAAGCTCTGATTTCCAGAAGCCCCCTCACCTGGCTCCATCCGTGAGAGCGGGCCCAGGAAGCTGCCAGAGAAGGACCCCCCTTATTTCCCACCTCTGACAAGTGATTGGAAGAGTGCAGCCCAGGAGACCCACAAACCCGGGCTGCCTCTCATTCAGTTCCGGCTCTGGGGTCCTGTGCAGGGAGTGGACTGAGGGACCCCAGGATGGACGGTCCTCTGCTCCGCTCTTTATGCGTGGACACTTACTCTCCCTGCCTCTCTGGTGCTGGCTCAGCCCCCGCCCCTGCCTAGTGAGGTGCCAGGCAACCACAGGGGGCGGGGCTCAGGGTAGCTTACGTCACCCCTCCCACTAGAGGCCTTGGGAAGCAAAGAAGAAGCCCTGCCGGGTGTCCGTGGCTGCTCCCAAGCCCGCAGCGTCCACGTGTGCCTGACCATTGCCGGGGCCAAGTGATGGCTCCAACATCGCTACAGGAGCCTGTGTGAGGGCCAGGCCAGGGACTTTCAGTCCCCACTGTGGGAGGCCGGCAAGTTGGGGACAGAACCCGCTGACAACCCTGCTTGAGCTCCTAGGTTCCCCGGTATGGGGAGGGGTCGGTGTTCCAGGCAGGGTGTGGACCGGGTGGGGTGAGGCCTTTCCCCGATGCTGGCAGTGACCCTCTTGTGCGGAGGGGCCCCTGCTGACTCTGGTCCTCCCCCTCCAAGATGGTGGTGCTCATGGACCCTGGAGAGGACCCCGAGGATACACTGCGCACCCACCGCTCCCGCGAGAAGACCTTCATATTCGACACGGTTTTCGACCAGCATGCTTCCCAGGTGCCTCCTCCGCCAGCTTGTCCCCCTGGCCCCACTGTCCCCAGGCCAGCCAGGAGCATCTTCACAGAACCCCACAGCACCCCCTGGGCAGGCCTGGTAGCCGGCCAGCTTGTCTACATCCCACAAAGGGTGCAGGAGGGGACAGAAGATGCCAGCCTAATTGTATCTAGTGGACAGTGTCAGGTGCCCCCTCCCCGGGTGTGAGGCCACCAGGAGCACAGGTGTACACAGCATCTCAGCTCCTCACTCACTCACTCATACATTCATGCATTCACTACTGCACTCATTCAATCATTCATTCATTCACCCATTCATTCACTCACTCATTCACATATTCACTCATACATTCATGCATTCACTACTGCACTCATTCAATCATTCATTCATTCACCCATTCATTCACTCACTCATTCACATATTCATTCATTCATTCATTCATGCATGCATTCACAAATTCATTCATTGACACACATTCATTCTCTCAAGCACTCCTTCATACATGCATTCACACATATTCATTCTTTCATGCACCCATTTATTCACTCATTCATGCACTTGTTTTTCACACATTCATTCACAAACTCAAGCACTCACCCACTCTCATTCGTGCGTGCACTCGTTCCTTGAGCATTGGGGCCCGTGCCCCCAGCAGGGGAGGCAAGATGATGGGCAGGCAGAGGAGGAAACCATGGGGGCCATGGGCTCGGCTGCAGTCATAGGACCTCCAGTCACAGGCAGCGAGAGGAGGGGCCCTGCACTGTGGATCCACTGGGAAGGCCTCAGACCTGGTAATGGGAGTGACCCCTCGTCCCCGACGTAATCACTCAGCTCTGCCGCGCAGAGCCGTGCCGGGCCACAAGGAGGCTCTGCAATTGACCGGCAGCAGGGCTGGCCTCCACATGTGGCTTGAGCTTCCGCCCAGCATGGTGGCCCGGGAATACTGTGTGTCTCCACAACCCACCAGGATACATACGGATGGCACACTCGTGTCCTGTTCCCTCAGCTGGCCCTGGAACTGGCTGGGCTGTCTACCTGACAGCCTGTCCCTCTGCCTGTCCGCCCTTAGGAAGATGTGTACTGTGCCACCACCCAGCACCTGGTGGAAGGCATCCTCTCCGGATATAACGCGACAGTGTTTGCCTACGGCCCCTCAGGTACACATGCTGCAGGACCCAGTGGGTGGCAGTGGGTGTGCCCCAACACTCCCTGCAATGTGACTCCACATCCCTCTCCTCCTCCTGGGAGGACAGTGGACCCCCACTGTCACACAGCTGGTGGGCAGTACTCAGAGCCCAGCTGGTCTGCTCCAGACCCGGGGGCTCCAGGAATACAACTTGACATTCTAACTAAGCCTATCGTTCAGCAACTCACTCCCACTTCCTGTCCCCACTCTCCCTAGCCCCTGGTCTCTAAGCCCCTCTGCTTCCTGTGACTGCATGGTAACAGGACCAAACAGTGCTTGTCCTTCATGCCTGGGCTCTGTCACTCGGCTCTGGGTCTCCAAGCGTCGTCCTGGCAGCCAGGACTTCTTTCCTATCTTTTGGGCTGTGCATCTATAGGGATGGACCACATGGCGATTCTCCATCACGTTGGGTGGTGTCCACCTTTGGGTGACTGTGGGCAGTGTTGCTGTGGCCATTGGTGTAGAGCATCCTGGGTACACACCCAGGGTTGGGATAGCTGGGCCACCTGGTCGTCCTAGGTTAGAGTTTCTGAGCTGGGGTGTCTGGGCCGGGCCCCCCTGCCTCCCCCACAGGTGCAGGGAAGACCTACACCATGCTGGGTCTGGACGCAGAGCCCGGCATCTACCTGCGGACACTCGCCGACCTCTTCCAGGCCATGGAGGAGACCAGCGACAACATGGACTACAGTGTGTCCATGTCTTACCTCGAAGTAAGCCTGCCCCCTGCCTCTACTTGCTTGTCTGCAAGATGGGTGCACCAAGCTCAATGAAGCCGGGCATGCGCTGACCCCACGGGCCAGCTGCCATCGTAGCCTCCACTCACAGGAAATCAGGTTTTTCCGAGGCGTGAGGTCCCAGCAGCATATATGTCCCTGTACTTATTTTGTAGACCCAGTGCTCTGACCCCCATTCCCCCCCAGATCTACAACGAAGTGATCCGAGACCTCCTGAACCCATCCTCGGGGTTTCTGGAGCTGAGGGAGGACTCTCGTGGCAGCATCCAGATTGCTGGCATCACGGAGGTCTCCACCTCCAACGCCCAGGAGGTGAGCACCCCAGAGCCATGGGGTGGGGGATGGGGTTCCGTCCTGGCAGTTGCAGACACAGAGAGCAGAGGCTGACACACAGCTCTGACTCAGACCTGGCTCTAAGCAGCTGGGCCCAAGCTTGCAGAAGAGCAGCTGTCTGCATGTCTACCCTCCTGGCCTGTGCTCATGGCAGGCATCACCAATAGATCACGTACTTTTTCAACCCTCACTCCCTCATATCTGCACCCATGTGTCTACTTCCTAACCTGTGCTTATGACAGACTAATAGATCAGGAACCCTTTCACCTCTCACTCCCTTATGCCTCCTAACCTGCACTCATGGCAGGCATCACTAACAGATCACACACAGAGTCATCTCTGTGTCCTTTCCAATTAGAGTTGGTTTAAAGTCCGAAATCCCTTTGCTGCTCCAGGTGCTACCGTTCAATCCCTTGCTCCCTTCTCAAGGGAAAGTTGTGGCAACGTCTCCAGCCTCAGTCTTTCCTGCCTGTCCCTGTCTATCTGTGCGAGCCAGACTCTGTCCTACCCTCAAGTTGGGCTTGGAAAGTAGACCTCAGAAGATCCCCGGTGGCCCCTGATAGGCTCAGGAATCTGTACAGACCCCACTGCAGCCTGGGAACCTGTGTGTTCCAATAATGCCTCCCCTGGCCCATGCCCTCAGCCCAGTCTCTCATGGGTTCTGGGAGCAGGGCACAGCCTCTCACTTATGCTGCACGACGAGGGCGGGACCCATCTTCCCTTGCATAGGGGGCAGTCCAGCATGAGTTGGCACACGGTAGGTGCTCAGGGAGATGAGTGCACACAGTGGGTGCTCAGTGACACAAAGTGTCACACAGTAGGTTTTCGGCAGCATGAGCTGATGCCAGTGGGAGCTCAGCTGGTGCATAGGGCTGGTACTCAGGGGCATGAGCACACACAGTAGGCACTCAGGGCCACCATGTCATGCACAGTAGGCATTTGGTGGCACAAAACTGGTGCACAGTAGGTGCTCAACTGGTACATAGTAGGTGTCCAGCTGCATGATGAATAGCAGGCAACTTAGTGGCATGGATTGGGGCACAGAGACACTCAGGGGCATGATACGCACAGTAGGTGCTCCGTTGATGCATAGTAGGTGAGCAGCAGCATGAGCTGGTGCATAGTAGGCAACTTGGCACAGTAGGCACTCAGTGGCCCAAGCTGGCACACAGTAGGTGCTCAGCAGAGGCCCTCTGGCTAGATTGCTGCAGCTCACCCCCCAATGCAGGAATTGATGGGTGGCTCAGGGCTCTGCTTGACAAGGGATCCCTGGGTGATGCTTGCCATGCCTCCTGGAGGTTCCAGGGACGGGAAGCTGCTTCCTGCTTCCTGCTCCGTGAGAACTCAGGGCATGGTGAACTCTGAGGGCCACAATCCAGAAGGGGGCTCGGGTCTGCCCTCCACCCCCAGCCCCCTGCTCCTGGGGGGTGGGGCAAGCGACCCCAGGAGCCCTGACCACCCTCCTGCCTCTGCCTACAGATCATGCAGTTGCTCACCAAGGGCAACCGGCAGCGCACCCAGGAGCCCACAGCCACCAACCGGACTTCGTCCCGCTCCCACGCCGTGCTGCAGGTCACCGTGCGCCAGTGGAGCCGTGGCTCAGAGCTGGCAGAGGCGGTGCGAGTTGGGCGCCTCTTCATGGTGGACCTGGCGGGCTCAGAGCGTGCGTCCCAGGTGCCTGAATCCCCACCACGGGCTCCTACTCAGAGCAGGACCTGGAACTGGCAAAGGTTGCCCAGCTATGACTCTCCCCACAGTGCCATGGAAGGACGGCCTGGTGGCCACAGCCAGGAGACCTTAGGGAGCAGCTCTGGTTCACAGTGCATGGGGCTCTGGGAGTGGGAGCCGCTGGACGACAACTGATTTTTCATTTTGCTTTGTTTTGTTTTAGGGCGGTTTTAGGGTGACAGGAGTCCCAGTGGTGTAGTGGTTACACACTGGGCTGTGATCCGCATGGAGGGCCGTTTAAAACCACCAGCAGCTCCTTGGGAGGAAGACTGAGCTTTCTACTCCCGTAAAGCGACAGCCTCAGAAACTCACAGGGGTCACTATGAGTCAGCATTGACTCGATGGCAGTGAATGTTTGCTTTAAAGGATTTCAGAGAAAGCAAGCTGAAAGCCCAGAGTCCCTGTTATCTGCTCAGTCAAAAATCCCCCGAGCCAAGCCCACTGTCATCCTGTAGGACTCTGCTCCCAAGGGCTTCTGGGCCTGTGAATCTGGACAGGAGCAAACAGCCTCACCTTTCTCCCAGGGAGCAGCTGGTGCATTTGAACCTCTGACCTTGTCATTAGCAGCCCAACTCTCCACCACCAGGGCCTCTCCCGGTCAGGAGGTTGACATTTCCAATGCATTTTAAGCCCATCCCTTTCCTCTGGCATTTTGCTTCCAGTGGAAGGAAAACCACACAGTCTTGAAAAGATCGTGCTCAGAAATCTCATCAGCCAGATACTCAAGTTCATCACTCTCGACACACCCAACACACGACAAAGTCACCCCAGGCACAAAGGGGTCACAACACGTGTTTGGGGTCATGGGAGGAGATAGCTCAGTCTGCAACAGTTAGCCTGACCATGGCATGCAGAGCCAAGGCCCCAGGGACCAGACGGATGTGGGTGCCTGTCCGTGCCTCAGTCTCCCCTCCTGTGGAATGGGACCGAGCGGGGTGGCAGGTGGTGAAGGGCCAGGTGGTCCTCTCAGGCTCACGCTGGCCTCTCCCTCTCAGACCCAGAACCAGGGCAAACGGATGAAAGAGGGAGCACACATCAATCGCTCCCTGCTGGCGCTGGGCAACTGCATCAACGCGCTCAGTGAGAAAAGCGGCAGCCGGGCGCAGTACGTGAACTTCAGGGACAGCAAACTCACGCGCCTGCTGAAGGTGAGGGCCGAGGGCGAGGCTGGAGCAGCACCCAGAAAGCCGTCTCCAGTTACAGCCTGGCTCTTCTCCTTATCTTGGGTTCAGTCTGTGCTTGCGCACCCCCAGTGACCGGGTACTCACTGCTTTCCCGAGGCCGCCCATCCCATCACACTGACCCTTATGCCGAGCCCCTCCATCTCACAGCAAGGTGGGCGTCTCCATGAGACCACAGATGAACCGGTCAGCCACGGTCCCGAGTCCCGCCTCCTGGCCTGAGTCTGTCCTCACTGGGATGGACGCTCTCAGAGTCAGGGGCCACTTCCTCCCTAGGGCAAGCCCCTCGGTTGCTGACCTGACTGTTGTTGGCATGGTTTGGCCAGGCTGGTCCAGACAGGCCGGGTGACTGTGGGGAGGGTGGTGCTTCTGGGAGAAGGTGCACGGCGCTCAGTGCGCCCCACGCCCGCTCATGCGCAGGACGCCCTGGGAGGGAACAGCCGCACTGTGATGATTGCGCACATCAGCCCGGCCAGCACACACTTTGAGGAGTCCCGGACCACGCTCCTCTACGCCTACAGAGCCAAGAACATCAAGACCCGGGTGAGCCCCTCACACTGCCAGGCAGGGGTGGGAGCTGCAGCTGTGTGCCGAGTCTAGGCTGGGCGACTCCCCTGTGCAGCCCAGGGTGGTCGCCTGTGAAATGGGGAGGGTTAAAAGGGCAGTAAAATGCTTCTCCCTCTCTGTCTCTCCCTCTGTCTCTCTCCATTCTCTCCCAGTCCTGGAGTTCAGAGGGCGGTAGGGCGGGAAGGTGGCAGCAGGGCCAGGCTCCCTGTGAGACGGTGGGAGGACACTTGCTTTTGAACCTCCGGTATCCTCAGATGGCCAAGAAGGGTCTTTTAAACCTTGATACTTCTTTGAACATTTATGATAAAATCCATTCTCAGTTGTGTGAGCTCACTCACTACCATCAAACACATTGCCTTTAAAAGACTTAAAAAAACAACAAACTTCCTTCACAGGCTGACCCCACTGGGTCTGACCTTGGCCCCACCCCACCCCCCAGGTGAAGCGGAACCTGCTGAGTGTCTCCTACCACATTGCCCAGTACACGGACGTCATCTCCGCCCTGCGCAGGGAGATCGAGCGCCTCAAGTCAAAGGTTGAGAAGCAGGAGAAGGAGAGGAGGAGCGAGCCTGACCCCCGGGATGCCCCAGGTACCTACTGCCTCACCTGTGAGCCCCGTGACCCCGCCTCCTGCCACCCTCACCTGCCCGAGGGCTGGTGCGTGGCCCACTGCACACCTGCCCTCGACGGCCCCCAGGTACTGTTTCCGCTCACCTGGGTCTTTAGCATGCCCAGCCAAGAGATTCAGGACTGGTTTCCCCATTGCCTTCTCCCTTCCTGCCTTGCCACCTTTTATTGGCCTTACCTGCACACTCTTTGACTTTTCTTCTCCTCATATCAATTCCACTATGTCTTAGAGTGTATCATGTAGCCTCACTACTAAACTCCCAAATCAACCACTGAGTTCAAAAGGGAACCCTAAAAATGCCTGGAGGGGAACCAAGTGAGATATAGGTGATATATATGATATATATATATATATGATCAATTATGGAGTATTTTATAATACTTACATGAGAGGCTTCAAAAAGTTTGTGGGAAAGTGGAATTAAAAACAACTTTTTGATACCCACCATGTATTTATGTATAATATCATGTTATATACATACATATATTCTTTGAAATACATTAAATAACAAAACTAGTTGCTGTCACATTAATTGCAATTCATGGCAATTCCTGTGGGTCAGAGTACAATCCTGCTCCATCCATCACCTACCCACCCATGCATCCATGGATCCATCCATCCACCCACCCATCCATCCACTCATTCCTTTATCGTCCATCCTTTAATTTATCCACGTATCCACTTCTACCTCTATCCACTTAAACTTCCATCCCCATCTACCCATTCCTCTACCCACCCACATATCCATCCATTTACCCATCCACTCATCCATTTACATATCCAGTCTATCAGTCACCCATTTACCAGTCATTCACCCATCATCCATCCTTCTACCCATGCATTCTTCATCCCCATCTACCCATCCCTCCAACCACTCGTGAATCTGTTAATGTAGCTATCTATCCACCCATCTAGCTTTCCATCCATGCATACATACATCTTTCCATCCATTCTTTCATTGTATGTGCACCATCCATCTATCTACTTCCCGTCTGTCCATCCATCCACCTACCCACCTTTCCTTCCTTCTACCTATCTATTCCTTCATTGCACATCCATCCATTCTCCCATCCATACCCTCAATTCCCACCCATCCATCCACCAGTCCGTCCATATTTCTATCCGTATTCACTCATTTCTCCATCATCCACCTAGCCAATCACCCAGGTAGCATTCATCCATCCACCTATCCATCCATCCACCATCCACTATTCATCCATCTACCCATCCACCATCCACCCACTATCCATCCATCCATCCACCTATCTATCTCTCTACCTATCAATCCACCTATCTATCTATCCACCTATCTATCCATCTATCTATCCATCCCTCCATCCACCTGTCCTCCGGCTCATGGTTAGTGAGATGCTCCTGGCCAGACTGCCCCTTGCAGGGCAAGCAGAGAGTCTGGTGCTGATGCTCTAGTGCAGCTGGCTCTCGTGTCTCCGCAGTCACAGCCCCCACCCACGAGGCCGAGGAGGAGAGCCGCCTGCAAATGAACAAGATCCGGGAGCAGCTCATCGGGGCCTTCAAGGAGCAGATGGAGATGCGGCGCAGCCTGGTGGAGCTGGAGAACTCCAACGTCGAGCTGCACGCCGACACCTCCCGCCACCTGCTGACCATTGCAGAGTGAGTGTGCCGCCGCCGTGGGGGCCGGCTGGTGGGGGCTCTGAGCCCTGCTGCCCCCTCCTGCCTGCAGGTGCCTGGGGCCTCCAGCCAGGTCCTCCTGGCCACCAGCTAGTTGGTGCTATGACTGAGCTGCCAGGGCCACAGCCTATCCTGGGGAAAGCGAGGCTCTGAGGGGAACAGTCCCTAGGGGGTGCCCAGGGGCAGTGGGGCGGCTGGCTGCAAGTACCTGCCTGTCACCACCTGTGTCCTGCCACAGGTGTCTGCTGCTTAGCAGGCCTCGATGTGCACTGTGCTCAGGCCTGTTCTCCCATGTGGAAGAGATGCCGCTGGGGACACGCCCTGCCCTGCCATGCCCAGGCCAGGGGGTGGCAGGGCCCGAGGAGCTGGTGTCCAGCCTCTGACCCACTTTTGGGGCCACAGCTGGGAGCGGGAGAAGACATCCCACACACACAGGGAGCGGCCAGAGCCGGAAGGGCTGGAGGAGCGTCCGGAGGCGGACGCGGAGGGGGACGAGGGCGAGCCTGCGGAGCCGCACGAGGTGGCGCTGGCCCGGGAGGAGATCAGCATGCTGCTGGCCGAGCAGCGGAGAACAGCCGCCCTCAAGGTAGGGGCGCTGGCACCGGCATCGTGCACCTGAGCATGATGCCATGCCGCACTCCTCCTGGCCCGAGCCCAGTGCCCCCAACCTCCTCTACCCCTGCGTCAGCCATGCAGAGTGAGGCTCTTCGGGGGAGCCGGCACGCTGCCCTGCAGTGGACCTGGCTGGGGCTGCTGTCAGGACGGCCCGGGCTGCAGGGCCAGAGCACAGGCCAGGGGCCACAAGGACACCAAAAGGACAGAGGGCCAGTGGCCATGGGAGGGTGTGTGAGTGGCCTTGTACTGTCCACTGACTTCTCGGCTGGGATGGACTACCAGCCCCAGCTCTCTGGGACGGCCACGCCTCGGAAGGTGCTGGAGCAGCAGTTATCAACCTGTGCGTCATGACCCCTTCGGTGGTCGAACGACTCTTTCACAGGGTCGCCCGATTCATAACAGTAGCAAAGAAAGTAATTTTATGGTTGGGGGGGTCACCACAACATGAGGAACTGTATTAAAGGGTCACGGCATTAGGGAGGCTGAGAACCACTGCTTTAGGGGAACAGACAGCCTCCTCTTTCTCCCAAGGAGCAGCTGGTGGTTCTGAACTGCTGACCTTGGGGTTGGCAGCCCAACTCAAAACCCACTATGCCACCAAAAGCCCCTGGGGCCCTGAAAATGGGGAAGCATTTGGCACTGACCAGTGGCGCTCACAGGCAAGGTGGGGGGTAGACCTGCAAGCCCACTTCTGACACTGCTCTGCGAGGGGGCCTGCAGTGGGCCAGCCCCTTCCTCACGCCGCCAGTGAAGGGAAGAAACGCAGGTCTGCCACGACCAGCTCAAAGCCAGGCCCCAGGGACACAAAGTGACCAGTCACACTTGTCCGAGCTCAGCTCGAATGGGGGAAGACGCCCCATCCCCCTGCTGGCTACGATTCCATAATGGGGGAACCATGGCCAGCGTGGTGGGCAGGGGCGGTCACCCCAGTCCAGGGGCGTGGACCGGAGGACTTGGGGGAGAAGCCCGCGGTGGAGTGCCACCCAGAAGGACCCGAGGAAGGAGGCTCTTGCTAGGATAGCTGAGTCAGCACCCCGCCCCCCAACTCAAAGCAGGACCCTGCCCGTCTCAGACATCCCAGACCTCCTTGGCTGTGCTCCTGGAGGCCCCCTGGCCGGTGTGGGCGGCCAACAGCTCTGCATGGTGGAGTATTGGGGCCCACCCACCCAGAAGTGCCCTGGGGAGAAGGCCTGGCAACCTGCTTCCGTAAAGTCTCAGGCGTGGGAGCCCTGGGGGTGCAGTTCTCGTAGGGCACCGGTGGACGGGATCTGGCTGGTTGCCAGAGCTTTCAGGGCGTGTCTGACCATCCCCTGGTGGAAGGGTCTGCACTGGACGCTGGTGCTTGGCAGCTGCTGTTCCCGCCCTGCCTGAAGCCTCGGCGCAGCCAGGAAAGGGGCTGGCCGCATCGTGGTTCAGCTACATCCGCTTTGAGGGACCGCCAAGCTAACGCCCCTCCTGGCTTATGACCCCGCCCGACAGTCTCCCGTTTCCTCCTCTTTCAGGCTCGCTCGCTGGGTTGGGGTGGCCGCCCTAGTGGGGGGACAAGTGGCCTCTCATGGTAGCTTTCACTCTGACTCCCCGGTGATAGGCATTGGGTGTGTATTCACAGGCCTGTTGGTCATCTAAGGAGCCCGGGGTGCTGTGGGCTGGGCGTGGAGCTCACTAGAAGGTCGGTGGTTCAAACCCATCAACAACTAACTGCTGGAGGGAGAGGAGGCTGTCTGCTCCCGCACAGACTGGCAGCCGACAGAAGCCGCTTTCTGCCTGCGGGGGCACTGCCAGTCAGAATGGACTGAATGGCAGTGGTTTGGTTTGGGGTCTTTTTAATGCATTTTTTATTGTGAATCTGGTAGGGGAGTGTACGTTCCAGACGACCCCCTCTGCGTTCGACAATTCAACCGCCCGCCCCGTGTCTGTCCCGCCCCTCCCCTGATCTCCCTTTCTCTCTTGTGGGCTGCCAGCCCCCCTTGGGGTCCCGCCCTCCCTCGCAAACCTCCAGCCTCTTCCCTTGGGTGTGCGGGTTCTGTCTGGGCGTGCACCCTCCCGCAGGGGTCTCATACGATGCTTGAGACGCGAGATGTTCCCAGGCCAGCCACGTGATTGCTCTGTGCTCGTCCTTGGCTTTTGAACTTGGCTGCTGACTGGGATGAATACGTGTCTCCGATCATTCCACAGTTCGATCCCGCCCGGCAGGACTGTGCATTTGCTGCAGCAGCCGGTTTCCAGGCATGCGGTTCCCACGTGGACCCTTAACGTCGTCACCCCTCACCCCACCACCTCTAGGTGGCCCCCTCCCGCCAGGACCCTTATCCCACTTGCTGACTCTACAGATAGGTTCATCGGGCCTGTTCTCATACACTCCCCCCAAAAAGCCGTAACTGCAGGAAGGTGACCCCCATTGACGTAACACTTCTGAGATACCCCTAACAGGTGCAATCCAAGGGCAGACCAGACAAGACAACCCCAAACACCTCAGATTCTGGAAACCAGAACAGGTCCAGCGAGCATCCTCGGGCCAGATCTGCTGACAAGAGTGGACTGCCCAAGTCAGGCTCCTGCCTTTGACCTTCTCTGCTGAACTCCCCAGTGTACCCCATCTGGGGACCACTTTCCTCCCATCCCTCCACCGTGGAGAGAGGGGGCTCAACAGCACCCCTGTTTTCTAAGGATATGTAGAACCCCCTGTGCCAGTGTCACCATTGCTTTTATCCTTCTATTGCGATGGCTTATCCCTCTACCGTGATGGCCTATCCTTCTATCCTGATGACCTATCCCTCTACCATGATGGCCTATCCTTCTATCCTGATGACCTATCCTTCTATCCTGATGGCCTATCCTTCTATCGTGACGATCTATTCTTCCACGGGGCGTTCAGGCTGATCCCACGGCTGTGCTATCGGGAACGGTGCCCCGGTGAATATGCGAGCATGGTGCGTCTGTGGGCGCTACTGTCCCCTACTTCTTTCTGCAGGGCCTCTCCCCAGCAGAGGGCTCTCCGGTCCTAGCGGTTGAAGGTGGCGGGTCAAGGTGAAGGAGGAGGTGGGGCCAGCCCTTGGGGAGACATGTCCTCCGCCGGCTCCCTCTTGGTCTGTCTCCACACCAGGCGGGGCTGGAGCAGCGGCTGGCCAACGCCAAGAAGAAGGCTTCACAGATGGAGAAGCTGCTGCCCCGGCAGGCGGTCAGCGAGGAGCAGCGGGAGGTGCTGCGGCTGCTGTGCCGGGCACACGAGCTGGAGGTGGAGAACACGGGGCTGCAGGCCAGCAGCCTGTACCGCAGGAACCTGCTGTGCCAGAAGGACTTCGTCATCCAGCGCTACCACCAGCACCGCCTGCTCTGCGAGGGCCTGATCCAGGCCCAGCGGCAGCTCATCCAGGGTGAGCGGGCAGCCCTCAGCGGGTACTGTGGGTGCGAGGCTGTCCTGTTTCATCCGAGGCATGGTATGGGGGTGGGGGGTGGGATCCAAGGCCGCCATCTTTTTTGGGGGGGTGAAGGGGCAGTCGCCAGGGCTTTCTCCAGCAGAACAGCTGTGGGGCTGGAGCGACTGACCTTTCCGTGTGCAGCCACCAGGGCCCCTTGTAGATGCTCACGTTGCACTCACGACGACACCAGCCTGCTGCCGCCAGAGCGCTTCCCCGTTGGCGGACAGGGTGGGGCCCACTGCCCCTGTGGGTTCCGAGCACCGCGTCCTGCGCCGTCCCCGCGGTGGTCTTGTTTCAGCCCATTGCTGCGGCCACACTGTCAGCACAGCAGCTCCAGAGCCTTCCTCTTGGTCGCCCCTGGCTAGGGGGACAGCCTCACCCTGCTCCACGGAGCGGCCGGGGTCTCGAACTGCTGACCACGGGGTTAGCAGTCCCACGTGTAACCCATGACGCCACCAGGGCTCCCGATACTTAACCCACTTCTATGCAAGCAGCCACTCATGGCCGTCTGAGGGAGCACTGGGGCACTGTGGTGAGAGTGTCCCACTGCTAACCCAGGGGTCGCGGTTCAAACCCACCAGCCACTCTGAGGGAGTGACCACTCACAGTGACCCTGCAGGACAGGGTGGTGCTGCCCGTTGGTTTCTGAGACCGCCCCTATTTTTGTTTTTTAAAAGTTTTATGAGCACTTCATCCACATGTCACACAATTCAATAATGCAGCCCCATCAAGAAGAGTGGCACCATTGTCACCACGTTCAATTCTAGAACATTCCCTTCTTCCTCAGACTCATTGTTATTCAGGTAATCGTAGAGATACATGTTTATAATTGTGGCAAACATAACCCAACAGCACATTCTCAAGTCCAACGACGTCTGCTTGTCTGGTTCGGTGCTGTAAGTGATCCTCTCTGTTGTACAGCCACGATCGACATCCTTCTCCAATTCATTCCACCACATTGACATAGATAGACTCCGTGCCCCTCCACGCATGGCCACCGCCGGTCCAGTTTGGTTCCTCTCCTTTTACTAATTTTCTGGATATAACATTCGCTCCCTGGTTCAGTTGCTTTTGAGACGATCATATTCACAACATCACAATCCGTTCTGGGGCTCCCCGCCCCCCACTAACTCGTTACGGGAGCAGACAGCATCACCTTTCTCCTGCAGAGCAGCTGGTGGTTTCGAACTGCTGACCTTGCAGTGGGCAGCCCAGCATCACCTCGCTGCCACCCTGGCGTCCACAGAAGGGGCCCTGTCTTTCCCACGTGCCCAGGGTGGCCGTGTAGCCTGGGCTGCTGGAAGAGGTGGTTCAGCACTGGGTCCTTCTGACTTCTGTCCCCCTCCCACAGATGGTGGGCTCCGGGTACCCGATGCCCTGGACAAGCAGTACCGCCTGTACTCCCAGGAGCTGGGCGAGGGCACACTCAACCGTCTGCTATTGCTGCACTCGCTGATGGCCAGCGCCCTGCCCGTGAGTCCAGGGGGCCGGGTGGGGTGGGGGGTACCTGGGGGCGCGCCCTGAGACTGTCCTGATGCAGGTGCTGCCCCTGGGGGTGGGGTTAACGTCCATGTGGGGACAACAGCTTAGGGACCCCAGCGTCCTTGGCTTGCGGGTGGCCCCTCAGGGGCACATGTGCGCTGTATTCTGGTGTTTCTAGCAGCTCAGAGCCCACCACGCTCCAAATCAGAAACCCAAGCCCACTGCCGGTGAGTCCGGCCCGTCCCACACTAGCCCGGCAGTGCAGTAGAGCTGCCCCTGTGGACCCCAGGCGACTCATCTTTAAAGGAGGAGCCTCGTCTTTTTCCCGAGGGGCAGCGGGTGCCTTTCGGTTGGCAGGGGAGGTCTCCACTGTGATACCTCCCGGGCTCCTCCCAGCGACCCTGTAGGACACGGCAGAACCGCCGCCAGCTCCCAAGGCTGGACACTTTCACGGAGCAGACAGCCCCCACTCGTTCTCCCTCCAAGGTGCAGGTCTCTAGCCGCGGCGCCACCAAGCCTCCCGGCCCTGGATGTCCGCCCCGAATTCTGGAGTCAAAGTTAGGGCTGGGTGGTGGGTGTCAACACGCTCTGTGGAGGCCAGCATTCTCAAGACTCACATAAGTCAGGCTGTAGGCGACTCTGTGCAGACCCGGAGGAGCCTGGCCAGGATCCCCCCCGGCGGCTGTGGTGCAGGAGACCTGGTGGCGCAGGGGTGAAAGCGCTGGGTGCCCAACCAAAAGGCCAACTGACAGACAGAGGTGGGGGGTCAGCCCCCCTCAGCCTCCAACTCTGAGACCACCTGGAGGTGCTAGGTTGGGGGCTCCCAGGATCCTCCCTGGGGGCCTCGGTCCTGGAGGCCCACTGAAGCAGCCTGTCCATACTCGCCCCTCCCCACCCCCCACCTTTGCTGGGACCACCCTCCAAAGAAGCGGCGTGCAGTTTGTTCAAGGAGGCTGGTGGGACAGTGGGCTTTGCATTGGGCTGATAGCTGTGAGGCCGGCTCTTCTAACCCACCCGTCGCCCCGTGGAGAAAGAGGAGGCTTTGTCTCCGGCAGCCAGTGACAGTGTCAGACACCCTCGGGGCAGTGCTCCCCTGCCCTGCGGCGGGGCGGCTCTGGGTCGGCAGCACCCTGACGGCAGTGGGACTGGTTTTGGTGTCATCCGGCACCGTGGACTGAAGCCACCAGTGGTGGCGGCGAGAGAAAGAGGAGGCTGTCGCTCCTGCTCAGAATCACGTCCTCAGAAGCCCTCGGGGGATTGCCCCCTGTCCTGTAGGGTCACTATGGGTCAGGACGCTGGGGTGGAAGAGCTTCTGGAGGCACGCCGCAGGCTGACCAGGCTGGAGCAGGGCTCAGGCTTGGACCTGCCCCCCTCCGCACCCCCCCCTGCAGGAGCCTGCACTTGTCTGTCCAGGCGATCCCGAGGAAGCGGGCAGGGAGCAAGGCTTTCTTCCATTACCAGCCCCTGCCCGCCACAAACCCACTCTGTGTCCTGGCACCAGAGGCCGTTCCCCCGTCCCCCAGTCACAGGGCTCATCCCACCTCTGCTCTGGGCTTCCGGGTCCCTCTGTCCTGCCCCCTGGGCCTCAGAGCTACCAGGGCATCTTGGGGGTAGTGGGGGCAGGTGGCACTGCTCTGAGCATCGTCAGGGAACAGGCTGCCCTGGTTTGCTGTTCTGAGGGTGGGGGGTGACCTCCTGGGTCTGTGTGTCCTTTGGCTGCAGGCTGACCCTAGTGGGTGGGTCTAGCCCTGGCCTGGAGGGTGCTGCAGCGCCTGCATTCACCATGAGGCCAGGTTGGAGGAATGCCGGCCTGTGAGCCTCCTACCGGGCCTCCTGGTAGCCCCCACTGTCAGGGTCTTGGTTACACGTCCAGGGTCCCCCAGGGTTGCAGGGGGTGGGGAGGGAGTCTCTGGAAGCTAGTTAAGGAGCTGACGAGCCGCTGCCCCTCAGAGGGTGGTGGCAGGGGACCAGGGGCCTACCTGAGCCCCCCTGCCCCCCCTCAGTGCCCTGAGGACACAACTGGCCTCTGTCTTCCCAGGATGGCTCTGTGCTGAACACGTCGCCCCCGCCCCCGCCCGAGGAGCAGCCTTCCACCGCTGAGAGGAAGGACCTCCCATGGGGCGCCCAGTTTGAGCTGCCGCCCATGCGGCTGGAGACGGACAGGTGAGGGCCACCTCCTTGGCCTGGCGGGGCACGGTGAGGGGACCAGAGGCCACAGCCCCCAGGGGCCCCGGGATAGGTTTCCCCCACCTTTGTTTCCACATCTGTAAAATGGGTCTTCTCTGGGCTGTTTTATTTACTTATTAGTTTTAAGTCATTTGATGGGGGGGCTCTTACCGCTCTTATAAGGTTCCATACATTGATTGTACATAGGTTGCCATCATCATTTCCAAAACATTTGCTACTTGAGCCCTTGGTATCAGCCCCTCTTTTTTCCCCCCTCCCTCCCTCGTGAATCCTGGGTCAATTACATATTGTTATTATTTCGTATCTGACACTGTCTGTGGGTTCCCTTCACCCCCCTTTCTGCTGTCTGTTCCCTTGGGGGGAGGGGCTATACAGCCAACCTTGTGATGGGTTTCCCCTTTCTCCCCCTGCCCCCTCCTGACCCTCCCTCTACCCTCATATCGCTACCCCACTACTGTT